CTGCATCTCTCATTGGACGCCAATGACCAGCTATAACAATTATGTCATTTGGTGCTCGTTCGCGCAACGGTCCCAATCCGTGTAATAGTATGTGGGGGGCCGCCGCCTTATGAATGAATGAATAGAAAATCAGCGGGTTTCGGAGTTGCGGACTCCTTTTCAATGAAATGAGCAACTTGCTTCGAACCTTAAGGTGAGCGATAACGTCCACGGTGTTGCCCTTTTATATCGAACTTATTCTGAAAGAGGATGACGGCCGAATTGCAACCTGCTTTTCTTTTGGTGAGTCTGGCCCTCTCGAAGCTCTCCGTGGCACCAGTGCTCCGTCCAGCGGCGGGAAAGCATGCATCCGCATATGCGGAGGCCGACAGCCGGACACAACAAGGGTGTCCGATGGTGTGCCCATGTCCAAGGAGCCCAAGTCGCCGGGTGTCGGGGTCGACGGCGAGCTCGACATCAAGTGGAGAAAACATGGTTAGGGAAGACGGCGCTTCCAGCTGCATCGTCTCGCCTTGGCAACACTACAAGTCCGATTTGAAGGCCGACTGATCTCGGCCACGGGGTCACCATCATTATTTGCATCTTCCTATTTCTACCGGCTATTGCCTACCAAAAATCCATATATAAGTATACGGACGGTGAATAATCGGTGATCACGGCAGTCATCTACACGCGCTACCGCCGGAGTCCCGATTAATCCCGGCTGTGGTGAATGATCGTTTCGGATCCGAAATATAAGCGGCACCGGAGCTTTGACATAAGTGATGATCTTGTTGGCGATGAGGAACGAGGATGCCCAAAGCGGGATGAGGATATCACGAAATGGCATCGAATGTCTCACAGCGTTTGGTCATGTATGTGTATGCTGACAACCGGCCCACGACGAGGTGGTGGGAGGGAGTAAATTTCCATGACAATTAATAACGTAGCCAGAAATCTGGGCTATTTTCGTTTAACTTCAACACGTTTCGTACCTATTTCCAAGCGTGCGCCAAACCCGACGCCAGCCCAACTCAAAGCTTCACATTACCTCCATTCAGCTCCTTCCAATCCGCCACGCCAAACCTGACGTATGAACCGTTCCTGAGCCAGAACACTTCGTCCTCGCCCACCTTCGACGGGTCCACACCCTCGCTCCGTAGGTTGTGTTTTTGCTGCTTATTCGTACCTGTCGTCTGGAGGCCTCCTTCAGGCACTACACGGATGAACAGAGGCAACGCGTACTTGGGAAGCCCCCTCTTGACGTGCTCGGCAAGACTCTTGAGGGTGTCGTCGGTTGGCCTAGGTGCTCTAGCCTCCTCGCCGCTCGTCTGCACCAAGCCCGACGGCTTCAAAACCACGGCGGCACAGCCAGCGCGGCCCTCGTGGCTAGGCACCTGGACACCGTAGACATTGCATTCGAGAACCGCGGGATGCAAACCAACTACCTGGGCAACCTCGGCAGTCGACACGTTCTCGCTCTTCCACCGGAAAGTGTCGCCGATGCGGTCGCTGAAGTAAACCCGGTTCTCGTTATCCCAGCGCAACACATCACCGGTACGAAACCAGGCATCACCCTTGCTGAACACATCCCTCATCACCTTCTTCGATGTCGATTCCGTGTCGCCATAGTAGCCCTGGAAACGAGAGTTGATATCGCCAGGCGGTAAACTGAAGAGAAGCTCGCCCGGCTCTCCGCGGCGTGCTCGGGTACAAAACCCGGTTTTGGGGTCTCTGTGAGGAAGCTCGGTTTCGTGGTCCACCTCGACAATGGCAACGCTTCTTCCGAGGATAAGGTTGTAGAGACTACCACTCCGCCCCACTGCACCCATGCTGAAGTCGTTCCGGCTCTTGTTCCATGTTGCAAAGGTGCCTTCGGTCGCGCCATAGAATTCGGCAATCGTCTCGATGCCGAAGCGCTCCTTGAATCGATTCCATACATCCGGTCGCAGTCCGTTTCCGAAGGCAGCGCGAACTTTGTGTTTGCGGTCGAGGTCTTCGCCAGTAACGGGATCGACGTTGGGAGGCGCCGATAGGAGGTACCTGCATGTCTCTCCCACGTACTGGATAATCGTGGCATCGTGTTTCCGAACATCCTTCCAGAATCCGGAAGTGGAAAATTTGCGGCTCATGGCAAAGGTAGCTCCTGCCGCAAGTGTATGGGCGAAGCCCAACAGCATGGCTGTGCTGTGGTAAAGAGGCATAGCCTGAAAAGAAGAAGCGTGAGTTGAAGCGATCTGGGAACTCTTTGGGAGAGTCTTACCGTATAGTACACGTCGTTCACTTGGGTGCCGAGCCATCGGAAGGTGAAATTGGCAACAGTGGCGGCCTTGGCCCATGAGATGATGGCAGCTTTGGGCAAACCTGTCGTACCGCTGGTGTAGATGAGCATCGCCATGTCTTCGTCCTTGAATCCGCTTCTCAGTTCATCCGGAGGGCGAACATTGTCCATGGCCAGCATCTCTTGTTCTATCTCTGGCGTTACCACCTCAAAATTGACCCCCTCTAGCCCCGACCTGACTTCCTCGGTGACATTGCTAGCAACAACTGGGTCGACCAGGACCAACCGCGCCGTTGACTTCTTTACGCAATGGACAAGCGGGTTGCCGGTAAGGTTGTGATTCAGCAGCGCTGGTGACGCTCCAATGGCCCATGTAGCAAGAAAGAGGAAGATGAAGGTATCGGTGTTCTGGAAATCCAAGCCAACGAGGTCGCCCCTCCTGACGCCGCGCCTATCCCTGAGCCAGTTGGCGTACCGCAAGACTGTGTCGTAAGCCTGTGCATACGTATAAGCCCGGTCCTCGAAGCGAAGGAACACTCTGTTTTCGGAGGACTTGGCGGTTGCGAGGTTCTCGAGTTGGTAGAAGAGATTCACACGGTCCCGGTAGCGCTTCCACGCACCGCCCAGGACGGTAGGAATGATGGCCCTGAGTAGTTCCAGATCGTAGTAAGCGAGGAATCGAGCATTCGCGTAAGCAGCGACAGCAGCGACCGCGGGAACGGTAACCTGTAGGGGTACTGCGGAACAGATTCCGGGATTGTCAGCGAGCTCTATGCGGGTATGCGGCTCATGAGCCAACACTTGACATCTAGAAGCACGTTTAAGGTGTATGTCAAACTGTGGTGTGGACTTGAACTTACATGGAGCCATCTCGGCGGAAGACACGGATGGTGCAAAGACGATAAGTCGAAGATAAGCACCTTGGGTATATGTGGTGCCCCTTGCAGGACAATTAATGCAAAACGAAAGCAAGAAGAGAGTTGTAAAAGTTGGAGATCAGAAGACGGTGGATGGGTACTTTAAAGGCTTCACTTGAGGTGTACAGTGCAACACCAGTTGTTGGTTGGTGGAATTAAGCTCAAGACAAGATGAGATGGTCAGTTTGAAAGGGGCCTTGCCATGGCCTTTTTGATCAGGGACAACGGTGAACACTGGCGGAGCTTTAAACATGAATGACAGGCTGCCCCCCTGGCAACCCCACGACTGCAGGGTCCCGTGTCTTTGCATTCGTTTTGGGCTTCTGACTAGAGCTGGGATTGCTAGCCTCTTGATCTTGGATCTTCGCATACAATTCCGACGGGGTGAGAAACGGTCCAAACGGGAATTCAGGGTATCGTCTACATACCGCCCCGGGGACTCGGACCCGCCCGCCTGCAATGGAAGGACGACGTCGAGCATCCGTCTCTCCCGTCGACGACATGCAGTGTGTCTTTTTGTGTTGATATGGGGCGCTGGAGTACGTGAGGAACGTGGAATCACAGGCCAGCTGGACAACAGAAAGGGCCACGAGCCAGTCGCAAACCTACCATGGAAGGCCGGTCCGCCGATTCGGTATTGTGTTTTGTTGCAGATGCCACCTTGTGGATGCTGTCCGATGATCACAGGTCTTTGTGTGCCTCGGCTTCGGGAGTCTTTTTCGTCACTGCACCACCACCTGCAGCATTGGCACTTGGCCAGAGATGCTGGCTTGATATTGAATGATTCGTCAGGGATAACGAGTCTGACCACCTGCCCACCCACCCCTTCGAAGAATTCAGGAGGCGGCCAAACATGGAAATCCGGCCAAGCAGACTTTTGGAGACGTCGTGGTTGCCAGCAATGCCAGGTGATACCGATGTGTAAATGTACATGACGGCGTAGGCGAGCTGGGCGGGGTGCAGTAGCGCATACTAAACCGAAGCCCCATCAAGACGGATCAAGAAGGCCGAGAGGTATGTACCATCAAGGGATGGAGGGCGAGGAAAGGCCAGCGCGTAAAGGACGTTTTGCTGTGAGCATGAAGCAATTCCAACAGTCTGTTCCAAGTCTGCTGGTAGCCGATATTGACCGAGTCGGTGGCCTGGTCGGGTCAGGTATGGTATTTTTCTCTTTTTCTGGTGTAACCATCCACAGCAGCACGACAATCCACGTTCGGCAGGTGAAGACGGTGTAAGACGAGAAAAAGGCACAGAAAAGGAGGAGATGTTTAGTTTCGCAAAAAAAGGAGTTTTCTCATGAGCTTCTATCAAGGAAATGCGCTTCGCAAGTGGTGCTTCCTCATGCCGGTTGTTTTTCAAAGAAAGAAGGGGAGTTAAAAGAATGAATTTAGAAATGAAGTTGACGGGAGAATCCAAACTGGAACACGGTGGCGGATGGAAGCCTCAAGAGAGTGCATCACCTGCAGTGGACTCCAGCCGTAGAGGTGCCCAAAGTGTACATTCTGCGGGAACCTCAGCAGCCGTGTGATTGGACAATTGAAATTCAATTCTTATCGATAAACAAAAGGAACACTTAAGATGAAAGTGGAGGCAGGTACGTACCTGATCTCCACGTGCATCAACCGCTAGCCGCTTCGGACAAGCCATCCACTGGAGAGTCGCGGTTGGTGGTCGCCAGTGCGCTGCGGCGCCGTGTCCAATGCTCGAGGTCATCCAAAAAGACACTTCGATGTCGGTTGTTTGATGCTGCCAGGCACAGCAGGACTTTCGAACAACCTGGTAAACCTATGGACTTTGGCAAATAGGCTCAACTCGACATTGCCATGTCTGCCCAAAGACCAACCGGCCATGGCGCAGCTGGCGACGACACTCTGTCCTCCAAGACTCAGACGGCGACCATGACATCGACGACGGCCATGGCCACTCCGTTCCCACCGTCGACAGCAGAGCAACCATCGACCCGAAAGGAACCACCTCCCGAAAAACTATGCGATATTCGCAGACGCATATGGGTTATAGGCTCGTTCTGGTTGATCGTCCTGCTCTTGGGATTGCCAATATGGTGGAAGACGACTACCATCCACCGAGCTAATCTTCCCCTGAAGGAGATGCTCGACTGGGCTGATGGCAAGGTACGCACGCAATCATTGGAGAAGACCACCCGACGGGCACGTCTAGAGCTCGGAACTTGGCATCGCTAATCCGTAGTTCGCTCTGTATATAGGCATGTCGTCCTGTCTTTCCCCTGCGCATCTCAATACAAGCCAACTCGCTCCAGGAGCACGAGGCTCAGAACCTCCTCCGTCTCACCCAACACGCCCTCGATGACCTTAACGATTTCTCGGGGCACCACTTGCGCCTGCAACTTTCCGCGCCCGCCGCAGCACAGAAACTAAATGACGAATCCAACGCGGCTCTCACGATACGTCTTCTTCCTGGCGAGGCCGTGACAGCAACACTCGATCCTTACGAGCCGGTCCTAGATATCACATATCCACCGAATGCTGCGCCCTCGGCAACATCAGCTTCGTCATCGCTAGCGACCTACGTGGCCGGCCAGCTACGATCTACTTTTGCCGAGGAGCAAGCCATTATATCCTACCTGCTCTCTAGCAACTCGATACCGACCGATTACCGGCCTCAGGGCTTGACCCCAGAAGCGGTCGAATCACTTGCCAAGCGGACCACACGATCACTCAAGTATGCGCCGACATACCACCTCACCTTTTCTCTGTTCACTAGCGGACCGCTTCCAAGCAGCTGGGACATTGAAGCCGCGATTCAAGACTACATGAAACCCGTGCTCGATCTGCTCTCGCCCATCCATAACTTTACGATTGATACCCAGGTGCAGCTCTACGCATCCCCTGGAGTGCAGAACCAGGCACTTGGCAAGGATGACCTCTCGTCCTTCATCAACGCCGCTGAATGGCCTCTTTCTCCCTCCATCGGCGGTGCACCAACGGTGAACTTCATTGTGTTCGTTGGCAACCAGACCATTGCGCTGCCCTCCCAGAATGGCCAGGACTCAACCGAGGGCGGCTTGACCACTTCCCAGTCATGGCTGATCCCACAATGGGGCACCGTTTACTTGCTTTCCCTTCCCCATGATACGGCTCACGTGTCTGTCGATGCCCTGAAGCAGCCTTTGTTGACCTTTACATCCCACCTCTTGTCCCTTACCGGGACCCCAAACTCTGGTTCCCTCCCGCTGCGCCTGTCTACGCTGTCCCGTATCCGCTCGGCAGACCTACTTCTCCGGGCCTCGTCTACCCTCGGTTCCTTGGCTCGTCTTGCCTTGGCACTCAAGTCCATTTCAATCCCTAGCAGTGTCGCGGATGGTGTCTCCAAGACCATTTATCATCTGCGCCAAGCTTGCGAGACCCTGGGCGAAGCCGAGGGCTTGGAGCATGCCAGAATCGCCGAGGCCGAGGCTGAGCGGGCCTTCTTCGAGAAGAGCATGGTTGGCCAGCTGTATTTCCCGGATGAGCACAAGGTCGCCGTATATCTTCCTTTGCTTGGACCTGTGGCTGTGCCCTTGGTCATGGGAATGTTGAACGAGTTGAAGGCTTGGAGGAAGAGGAGAAAGGAGGCAGCAGAGAAAGGGAAGGAGAAGAAGAAGGAGTGAGATACCCTATGTTCGTGTATCGAAGAAAACAAAAGCATTGCATGAGGGTAGCCACTGGGCCCCAGGTATGGAACAATAAGGGATGTGGTTCAAGTTCGAGATACATATTTAAATCCCGTCAGGGAGAAGCCTCTTCACTATTATTATTCATTGTCATTATCATCCAGCAACTGGTTTTGGTTGAGAAGTCCGCTACTCAGAGATACACTGAGCCTTGAATTTGCGGCCTGGTATATGTTGGAGGTCGATCGACCCTGACAAGCACTTGGTCTTCTGGATATCCTCATCTGCCAATATATAGTCTTGGCAATGTCGTTCCATGACATTGCTGTAGGCTGGAGACAAAGCAACACCATATGAGACGTTCGAGACACCATGTTGTCCGGTGTGTTGATGCAAAAATATAAATGCTCTAGCCTAGGTAAAACGGAAAAGGGTATTCTATGCTATAATGCTGTTCGCGAATCCTTCCGCGATGATGCGCCTGTCCCAATGCCGATGCAAAACCATCTAATCCAATCTTTTCTCTGCCACCATCACATCACGCTCTTTCTTAATTCTGCCCTTCATGCAATCCATACATCCTACTGCTGTCTGTCCCGTTTTTTCCATTAGCATTAAAACCTTCTCTTCCCCTGCCGCTGCCCACGTTGAGAAGCCAGTTCCCAAGCAACGCATCATCCGGCCACAGCCGCCGCCGACATGCATGCATTTCTCCATCCATGGGTATTTCCGAGCCCGTATGGTAGAGCGAGCGAGCCCTGAAGTTGAAGTCGAATCCATCCATCACACTTAAACACCAACCACAGGCTTGGCCCTCTGGCCCCTCGCCCTGCCCTTGAGCGTAGCCATGGTATCGACAATGACGATGAACAAGAAAGTGACCCAGAGCAAGAAGCCGAAGGCGGTCGCGGCCTCGACGCATCCGCAAAAGGTGTCGGCACCGCAGCTCGGAGACCCGAAATAGACGGCCAGGGCAATCGAGCCGGCGAACCAGAAGATCATGGTGATCCATTCCAGCGCGAGCGCGATGGTGCGCTGGAACATCTTGGGGAAGTAGGGTGGGAAGAGGGCGATGTAGATGAGCACTAGCAGAGTCCAGACCGAGTTGAAGAGCATGAAGGCGTAGATGCCGGGCGCTCGCCAGAAGGGTGATACCACTTGGTGAAGAAGTTAGTTGGGTTGTGTTGTGAAAGCGGCGAGGTGGAGATGATGAGAGTAACTTACGGTAACATGTTAGGCCGAGCTCGATGAGGCCAAAGACTGTTGCGGCCATGTGGGCGTAGGGGATGTAGTGCCTTAGGGAGTCCATTGTTGCAGTTGTGGTGGTATAATGATGTGAAAAAGTGGTCTTTGGTGTATGATAGCCCTTCAAAGTGATCGAGCGGTGGTTGAGTGTCTTAGAAGTCTTGAGATGTTGAGAGTGGAATTTGTGTGGTGTGATGGTGAATTTGCTTGCTTGGTGGATATGTTGTCACTCAATGACAATTCAAGGCAGCCGGATTAGGTAGGTTGTGTAAAATTATGAATGATGCGGATGAAGATTTAATTCTGAAGAGTCGTTACTGCCGTGAGCTTATATCTACAAGTTTCTCATTCAAGCCAAGCTTCTCTTCCGTCGGCTTGTCACCATCTTTTTTCAGGGAACACAAATGACGCGCGGTAACAATTGGCGCCCACGGCAAGGTGAGCTAGCAATGTTAGCAAGATTTTGGACCAGGAGAGACAAGACGTTCCAGTGACGTTACGTGGTGTCGAGCTACGGGAGAAACAGACGCCAGTATGGAGCTGTGGTGCACCCATCGTAAGCCAATCGACAAGTCGGCCAAGGGTCCAGTTGACACAAGACTAGCAAGGACCACTTGTGCGTAGGGCTCGTTGGTATGGGGATTGCTGATACCGCGACTGCAGCAAGGGCTTCGCTCTTTATTTATACTTTAGCTTGCTCGGGAGACGGACGGTTAGCTACCCGTAAGGGTCCTCAATCATCTGTCAAATCTGATATCCTTGAAATGTCAAAAGATTGCATGGCCGTTGGTGTTGTTTTTGTTTACTTTGTAACCGCCGGAAAGGGAATGTGACGTCATGTTCTGATTGGATGGCATCGATGCTGGGCAACAGTGAGCGGAAGGAGGAATTTCACGCGACGAACGAGCGAGTCCCAAATGGGGCTAGGGACTAGCCGTGGCTGTGCAGTTAGCTCGCTAGTGTTTCTGGCTGTTTGGAAGTGGCGCGCGGCTGTGCTTGAGCATTCATTCCATGTGATCAATCGAGTGGTTCGTGCATTCATTCACTGCAAGCGCTCAGCTGTCAGGCACTGCGCAGAGGACAGGAGGGTCACTTCAGTTCGCACTTAGAAGCTTTTCGCTTTTCGTGGAAAGCGGGGTCTTCCGCGCACCAAAGAGTGGGGTCTCGAAATTGGATGGGTCCAAAAGATTTTCAACCCCGCCATCTTTGGGCCACCTCGTCGTCGCTGCCTCTGCTTCTGTTGTCTCTTTCTCTCTCACCAGGATTCCTCACCACAACATCCATCTCTCATCACCACTCCTCAATCCACCAAATCCGTCAAAATGGGCTTCACTGATCTCCTCACCGATGCCGGTCTTACCGGTAAGCAAATCCCCAAACCGCCCGCCGCATGCGCCTGCGCCTGCGCTCAACGAAAGACGCGATCATGAAAGAAGGACTGGCCGACTAACACGATGTGATTTCAGTGCTCAACAACTGGCTCCTCACCCGCTCTTATGTCACTGGGTAAGTATTTCAAAAGTCCTCCGTGACATGATGGTTTCTTTCCATCTTGCCCCTTTCGAATGATGAACACACTGGTCCGTGTTGCTGAGCAGCTTAAGACCCTGCAAATGATTAACACAACAGCACTTTTGTGCACTTCTGACTTCTACATCGTCCAACAACACGTTGGATATTCATCAATGCGCACTCTAGTTCTTGTTCGACACGCTCTTGCTAACGCGCAGCCCCTTATAGCTACACTGCCTCCCAGGCTGATGTTGCCGTCTTCAAGGCCCTGAAGGATGCTCCCTCCGCCGAGAAGTACCCCAACGCTGCCCGCTGGTACAAGCACATCGCCACCTACGAGGACGAGTTCGCCACCCTCGCCGGTGACTCTTCTGCCCCCTACACCACCTACGGCCCTGAGGTCGCCGAGGTCACCATCAACCCCGCCAAGGCCCCCGAGGCTGCCGCCGAGGAGGAGGAGGATGTCGACCTTTTCGGCTCCGACGATGAGGAGGAGGATGCTGAGGCTGCCCGTATCCGTGAGGAGCGTCTCGCTGCCTACCGCGAGAAGAAGGCTGCCAAGCCCAAGATCGCTGCCAAGTCCATCGTCACCATGGATGTCAAGCCTTGGGGTATGTTCTCTTTTGCTCCTGTGGTGCACTGAGGAAGCGTTTGTGCTAACCCGGCCGTTACAGATGATGAGACCGACATGGTCGCTCTTGAGGCTGCCGTCCGTGGCATTGAGAAGGATGGTCTCGTCTGGGGTGGCTCCAAGCTCGTCCCCGTCGGCTTCGGTATCAAGAAGCTCCAGATCAACATGGTCATTGAGGACGACAAGATCTCCCTCGATGAGCTCCAGGAGCAGATCGCCGAGTTCGAGGAGTGGGTCCAGTCCTCCGATATCGCTGCCATGCAGAAGCTCTAAGCTTTTGTTGGGAGTTTGATGCAGAGATATGAACAAATTACGAATATAATGATACCAGATGTTGCCATTTAAACATCTGATCATAATTGCTTTGGAGCCGTGCTTGTGTCCGTGATGTGACGTTTCGTACGAGGGAAACTGAATTACTGAACAGACTTCTTGGGCTGATACAAACAGGCTGATTCAAAATTGAGCTTCGGAGCATTCCCTCGGGGCCATTCTCACCATGGCAGATTGCAAACGTTGGGATCCTATTAGAGTGACGGATCGCTAACTGTCGAGCCAGGCGCGCATGGCCTAGCGTGGTGTGCCCGCCCGTCTTATGCGTACCTTGACGACTGGGCTGGGACTGTTAACAATTCACAGGTATGTGCGTGGACACAAAAGATAAGTAGAGAGGTTCGAGGCTAAAGTGCTACGCAGAGGAAAGAAGTCAGCAGGAATGAACCAAAGATACGGGGCCCCGGTCGCCTTTGAATCATCCTTGCGTCTGCCCAACGTCCTCTCGTTCCAGCTTCGCATCTCTCTCGAATTCTCCAGGTCATCTCAAACCGGTGAAAGGAAAGCCGCGAGGAATGCTGACGAGTTTATCAGTGGAGCACTGATCGGAGAGAAGATTGGGATGAGATTGACACCTCCTGGACCGGAAGACAATATAAGGAACTCGTCAAATTCAGATATCCGTTCTGTGCTTTTATTGGCATACACCTTTTCTTGAGTCCCTTGATGCAAGGCCAGGGTGTGGGTTCAACTTCTTAGGTACCGGTACTTGAGCGAGACAAACCTGCCATGAAGTTGGCATGAGACTGGCAGGAGCGGATATGCGAGTTCGAGTTTATCACGCGTAAACGCAGGAACCGATGGAGTTGCACCTGGTGAGCAACGACTTCCACCGCGCACCACCGGCAACTTCCTGAAATATCGTATTCATCAACCGCAGCTGCCATGCGATGCCACCATGTTGGACCATGGACTGCTGCAGCATAATTACTCCTCCAGAGGTGCTTCCCACAACTAACACCTGCGTCAGGACCAAGAACAGAAAGTGGAGGGTGGAAGGCTGCACCGCGGGGGCCTTTGCTTGCAGGTCTCGGCCATAGTCAGTAATATTAAAACAAACCGCAGGTTTCTTCTGTACATTGCAGTTTACCATACAACGAAACGTGCTCTTCGACTTTGCTAACCTCTCCTCCTTGGTCTACTCCTTACCCTTCTTATCCATCTTAAGTACATCACTACCACAGTCTCTCCATCCGAGAGCCCAGTGCCACAAGAAGCAGGACTACCGTTACGACCGGAAATCCAGGCCATCTCAGCAGCTATGGCGAGATCAACCGAAACGGCAGCTTCTGTTGTCAACAGTGCCTTGGGCTTTTGCGTCAGCCTTTTACGCCGCTCTCCCACGGCCGTTCGGTATTTCTCTATGTTTCTTGTCGCCGCGTGTTTGTTCTGGAAGGGCGCTGTTCAGCTTCTTATCCATCTTGCCGTCCCCTCTTTGACCCCAACCAATCGTCAACACCTCGCTGTTGCAGCTCAAGAGAAGACTCTGGAGGATGCTGGCCGGAATACCTCTACCGACAGTCCTCAGGCCAATTGTCAATACCCGGCCGTTCAGACTGGAAAGCAGGTTCAACAGGATATTAGCCCAAGTGCCGCCCCCGATAGCCTTCCCTCGCTTATCTCAACCAGTTCCTCGACATACACCTCGGCCATCGGCGATCTCGACCTCGACCCCGACGACGATTTTGATGAGCTTCCTCACCTTGATTACATCCCGCCGACACCCGAGGATATCAAACGATGGGTCGAACTCCCTTTTGAAGAACGCCGCAAGGTGCACGACATGCAGTATAAAGGGTTGAACTGGTTGTCATGGGCTCCACCTTCGAGTCCCTCTCTGCCGCCGCGACGTCCACTACCGGAGGGTATTCTGGAGTGGAGGGAAGAATGGAGTGACTTCGACTTGCCCCCGAACCCTCCGCATATCCTGACGTCAGAAGACTTGAGAAGATGGTGGGGAGAAGCTACCGAAGGAGACCGAGCTAGAATCAACCGTATCAGCACCGACGGGTTGAACTGGCGGACGTGGGCTCCTCCTTCTCCTCAGCAGCCCTGTGACGGCGGAGAGCCAGTCGTTTGGTCTGGGATCGGCCCTTGGGCTGAGCTTGATCCGAACGGGTCATCTGCGATTGACGACAGCAGCGAGCAGATGGTGGACCAACAGCCACTTGTACAGCGCCTCCCTCATAAGGAACGGCCACTCTAGGAAAAGCACGTAATCTTGCATGAGGGATTTCAAGCTTGTGCTGTTGCAGATAGAGCTCAAAAATCGGACAGAGAAAAAGAGCGGATGTCACACGAGGAATGACCTGGATATAGGTACGGATGGGTCAGTTTGGCCATCATGGGCTCCTCGTCAGGTTGGTGAATTGGCGACGGTTGTTTCTGTTTTCGGAGATGGATAAACATTGGCGTGGTTCTTGAGGCTTCTCTTCTCTTTCGAAGCGAAATACGGGACAGGTCACGTAAACGTGAGTATTACTCCCCTTTTCCGTCGCAGCAACAAGGCGTCCAGTTTCGTTGGAACACATCACTAACGTATCTCTTCCGTCTTTAGGAAAGACCGTTTTACTTGGATTCCCGTCTGGGTGGCTGTTTGACATGGGCGTCTTGAGGCCGCTGGCTTGGAATATGCTGCATTGGTATATGGTGATGGGTGGTTGCCTCGAGCATTGAGAGGTGATTCAGGCGAATGATAGCGACTTTACTACACACGACCCGTCGCAGCGTCTATGTTTCTAGGCTACGTATTGCCTGACGAGGGAAAAGCTTTATTTATGGAGCGAATTAGCTTCCTTGTATAGATTTATTTCTTCTCTAGAATAGGGTGGGCCTACATTGGTCTTGAGAACACGATTACTCCTTTCCTGGAGTCGATATCGTTCCTTAAACACATCCCTCGACTATGGTTTCTCGTCCTGTGAAGGTTTAGGATTCGATTTCCCGTCTTCATTTTGTTTGTCTGTAAGCGAGTGATCTTCCGATGTTTCGGCCTTAAGCCTCTTGCGTTCAGATGGCTTATCCTCGGACGACTGGGCCTCGGACGACTGGGCCTCGGACGGCTGGTCCTCAGATGGCTTGTCCTCCGACGGCTTCTCTTCATCAGATGGGTTATCCTCCGCGAGCGGTGCTGGACGAAGCACGGGTTTACTCATGATAACATAATCCGGCATGACAACTTTTCCGACGGAATTTCCTTGGCCCAGGTGAAATGTCGTCCGTCTCAAAGCCGTGCCTTTTGTAAAAGCCAAGGGCGCGTTCGTTGGACAGGAAACACGTCAACATAACCTTCGTGATGGGAGGCAGGTTGGTGGCCACGATGACATGGAACCCCATCAGAAGTGAACCGAGTCCGGAGCTATGTGAGTCAAGTCAGTCAGTCAGTTAGGTAAAAAGTTAGAAAGTGGTTACATAGTTCACGGCACACATGACTGTCTGGTGGTCTTTGGAGGGACAGATGGATCTCAGGTTTTTAATGCTTCCTTAATGTACTTACCCCTGCAGTTCCGGCTTCAGATGGATTTCATAGCAGTAAACGACCGGCTGGCCTTCTTCGTAGGTGGGCATCAAGGATGTGAAAGCGCGGATCGAACCGCCGTTTTCGGATTTATTGTCTTGAACCAGGACGTAGCGAAGACCGGGGGATTTCATCTCTTCCATCTTCTTTCGGGGTTGCCATTTGTCTTTGGAGTTTTGGTAGTCGTCGTAGCTGGTCTCTTTGACCAGGTCGAAACATGCTTGCAGTTCTTCTTTGCTGAGCTTGTCGGACCGGACTAGGCTGATGGTGTACTGATTGTTGGTTTTGGGATGCGTCCATTTTGTCGTCCAGGGTTTCGGCGCCGGCGATGATGATGGGGGTAATAATGCGGAGGAGGAAATGGACGTTTGAAGATAGTCGGAGATGAAGTCTTGGTCTGTTTTGGAATTGGTCCTCTCGATGGGGCTTGTAGGTGCCCGCTGGCGTTTTGGTGCCATGGGGTAAGAAAGTGAAATGATGAATGGGGATGAGGGGTGTGATGCGTTTGTGGCAGAAAATCGTATTTGGAGTTCGAAAGGTGGCGCTGTGTTGAAGTTTGAAGTTGCGGCGTGGAAATCTTTCTCTATGTAGTATAGCAAGCAAGCAGGGGCATGTAAGGAAGTACTCGAACGGATTGAACCCTCGAATTCCGCATCCGGCCCAGGACAGTAACACGATACAAAAGCAACGAATATCGACACACAAAGGAGGTTCAAGTTGGTTTATTGTAGGTATCCTGCAGGGCCTTTCCTATTGAAGCATAGTCTGCATAAGTATCTTACCTCGACTTTCCTACCACACACCTCAATCCGGTACCTGCCAAGCCTGATCTGCTTTGCTCCTTTCACTCAAATAAACGGTACAAATCAACCAATCTCATCAAAGGCACAAACACATAACTAGCATCATACCCATTCTCATGAACCGCCCGGCACCGTTTCTACGGTGCTTGCCAGCACTGCGCCCTTGCGTTCGGGGATATGCAAGCCGTCCGCGGCCTCGTTTGGCGGATACGTTAAGTTTGGAACATGTAAGTCACTGCCACCCATCTCGTGATCTGGAGATGGTTTCCAACCTACCGTCACAACTTAGTTCCTCCAAAGGGCCCGAGTCCTGGCCTTGTACCGCCACATCATCCGGGCAACACGCCGGATCCCGGACCCGGCCACCCGTGCCGAGACAAGAGGCATGGCTCGCGCCGAGTTTGAGAGAAACCGCCATGTCACAAACCTTGTTCGTATTCCTGTTTCCTACCCGGCTTCTCAACTTTCCTTGCGTCCCTTTTGCTACTAACGCTGGCCTGCTATCTCTCACTCACAAGGACCACATTCGCTATCTGCTCTCGACGGGCAAGACAGAATGGGAAAACATGGAGAGGTATATTGACGGTCTGTAACTGAATAAGAGACCATTTCTGGCCTCGGCCGTCAACCACCAGACAGAAAACCGTCCCCTGGTTCCCGAGTGTCTTATTCCTTGCTGTATTTCCTGGTATCGATGCAGACGACTGGACGCTGCTGGGTCCAGCTATGTCGGGCAATCCCTCATTCTAGGCGGCGAAAAATGCCCGTTGCACCGCAAAAGCGGATGTACACGTTTCCGTATCGGCATGGGAGTCGGCGCTGGAATTTTCTCTTTAGGATCGTCGTTTCGCCCTAAATATATCGTACAGTCCGACCCTTTTTATGTAGACCCGTAAATAACCACCAAACCATGCCCGTTTCCCAGAGCTCATCGTACACACACTGTGTCGCTCCGTCGTCGATATCATTACCGTCGTGTTCACCTGTAACCCTGGCGCTGCTTGTGTCTGGGATTCGCAGGGCAGATGATGTAGAGGTAGCCGTTTTGCCTCTTGTTGGCCTTGCGACGGACGACCTGTAGATTTCGGGTTGACAGATCAGCCCAGGTCCCTCCCTAAAGCCTCCACACTCCCCGACGTTTCCAGATACCCCAAGTTCCGTTCCCGGTATATTTATATGCTATAGGTCTCACCTTGCAATGCTCGCAACGCTTCTTGATGGCGGAGTGAACCTTCATGCCCCTCGATTGCTGCTTCGGCTGGAGGCCGTTCTTGGCGCTTTGGGAGACGGCGACGGGTCTGTTATGGGAGCACATGGGAGTGCAGACGTGGCGGGAGAGGATGCCCTGGGAGAGGCATCGTGTCTGGTGTGTCGAGACAACCGTCTTGGTGGTGTTGACGGCGGCGCGAGGGGTCGCCAGGGAAAGCGCGCGCATCGACGACGCGAGCGACCGGAAGAGGTTCGACATGGTGATTGGTGGTCGAGAGTAAGAGTAAGCCTTCCTGCCTGCCTGCCGTTGTTAGGTTGAAGGTTGACGCCGTCGGGGTGGTGTCTGTCGCTGGATCGCCGGGATGCTGGAGCGCGCGGAATCGAATTGTCTGCCGGCCCGTCAATCGGCAGTGTGGGGTCTGATTAGACGTCGTTATGCAGCTTTAGGACAATTAAGATGCTTATATAAATAATTTTCCGCACCGTTGAATTGTATGCGCTTCTCGAGGTAGCTTGGCGGCAAAATCATACCACGTTTCCCACCAAGGATCCTCGTCAAACGCAATCTACTTGCTATAGGGAAGCTCATCTTCTCAATATCAATTACTGAGTAGCCAAGCTGTAAGCGCAAGTGAAGGGGTCTTCTTTCCTTCGCTGGGAGCCCGCTGGGAGCCCGCTGTTGGCCTGCACTGACAGTCTAGAGCTGATTCCCGTCCCGTGCAAGTGTGACCCCGGCATCGCGCCGCTGCGTGTCGTTCATCTCTCCAAGGTACACACCCAACCAACCTCAACCTTCCAATCTCGTCTTCCTCCCACCTTCCACTCTCGTAGTCACCACTTCGCGGTGACGATACAAACCGACAAGCGAGTGATTGTCACGGGGCTGCCGACACCGAACAGAACTACGCTAAGCTACCTCTACCTACCTATCTATCTCCCGCCCATCGGTAACATCGACGTCCTCGTCAGGCGCCGTTCGGTTCGCGCCATCACCTGCACCATCAAACACCATATCGCAGCCAATACGACCATCTCTCGACCACCCTCGCAAACAGCGCTCTTCAGCCTACCCCGTCGCCTGATTCCGAGTTATACCTTATACATAACCAAATCACCAGTATATACCGATACACACCTAATAATAAGCAGCGCCGTGGCCCCGTCGTTTCAAGCTTAGTAGGCTGCCCTTGGTCGCATCCCGCCGCTAGCGTCAGCTCGAGCCAACTAGCTACTCGCTTCCATTCTCGCTCCTCGACCACATTCCTCAAGACCGCAACGGACCTTTCAACCTCCTTCACCCAAGCTTATCGTGTTGCCGACTGGCATTGGCACCATGAATCAGCAGTCACAGCAATATCAGCCGGCGCGCCGACCAGGTGCCTATCCCTCCCACGGCGACGAGCTTCACATGTCGGCACATCAGGCCCACATATCGTCCCCCCGCGAGTACTCGTCCTCAGGCGCACCACCACACATCAAGCTCGAGCAGATGACCTCGAGCCCCCCAAACATGCAGAGCTATCAGAGCGCCGGTGCCGTACCCAATGTCCTGCAGCCCGGAGGCATGTCGTCTCGTCCGCCCGTGATGCAGTCCAACACCGCTCCCACTCTTCCCACGATGCAGCAATCAGCCGACTACAAGTCCCACAGCTATGAGCGCTCCAGCCCTGCCATCCTGGCCTCGAACTCCTACGACGGCGGCAACTCGCCCTATGCTGCCTACAACCCGACTCCTCCAGGTGGCAGCTCTTCGTCGCAATACATGTCGCCCACGAGTACCAACAAGTATGCGACCGCCTCATCGTCTCGCAACGTCTCCAACACTCCGCTGGGGCTGTCTGATATCCGGCCTCGCGCTGATTCCACCCTCTCTGATGGCATGCTGCCCGGTAGCCAGGCCTACGAGTTGGCCAATCCCCAATCTCGCACCAGCAACTACATGGCCCCTTGGGCTACCTACGCCTTCGACTGGTGTAAGTGGCGCCCCAGCGCAAACAGTGCTGGGAAATTGGCTATTGGCAGCTACTTGGAGGATGGTCACAACTATATCCAGATCCTGGAGGCCAACCTGACGAAAACACCATCCGATGTATATGTCCCGGGCACCTCCCCGTACTCGATGGAGTTCACCCGCACCGCCGAGGCCACACACTCGTACCCCGTAACGCGTCTGTTGTGGGAACCTCCCTCGTCCCAGAAACAATCAACCGACCTGCTTGCGACCTCAGGAGACCATTTGCGACTGTGGTCACTACCAGCGGACCCCGTGGTACCCACCAGCGGCTCTTCGATTACGTCTAGAAGCGGCCGTGACGCCCCCATCACCAAGCTCACTCCCTTAGCCCTGTTGTCCAACTCCAAGACACCCGATCATACTGCTCCTCTGACCTCGCTCGACTGGAACACCGTTCAGCCCAGCTTAATCATCACATCGAGTATCGACACTACGTGTACCATCTGGGATATCCCATCGCTGACGGCAAAGACTCAACTTATTGCCCACGACAAGGAGGTATACGACGTTCGCTTTTGCGCAAACAGTGTGGACGTGTTTGTAAGCTGTGGACAGGACGGCAGTGTGCGCATGTTCGATCTTCGCAGCCTTGAGCACAGTACTATTATCTATGAGCCCACAGGCAAGGAAGAACGTGGTAAGTTCCCTTTTCGAGTGTCGCCATGCCCATATTTGTACAACCTGCTAACCCTCATATCTAGACGCTAATGGCGGCCGGATCAGCCCTACGCTGGCTCAACAAACCATGTCGCACCCTCCTCCCCTGCTGCGACTGGCCACTTCACCGCACGACCAGCATTTGCTCGCAACGTTTGCGATGGACTCAAACGTGATCAGGATACTGGACGTTCGTCAACCAGGACAGGCCTTGTTGGAGCTTCGGGGTCATGGGGGTTCCTTGAACTGCATTGAGTGGTCGCCTACCCGGAGAGGTACGCTTGCTTCGGGCGGTGATGACTGTCAGGTGCTCGTCTGGGACTTGCTCAACCAGCCTTCTGGTTTGAACGCAACAGGCCAGCCTGATAACGTGAGGAGTCCTGTGGCTAGTTGGCAGTGTGACTACGAGGTTGGTAACCTTGGATGGGTTCCTCCGATTGGCAACGGCGAGTATGGCGATTGGTTGGGAGTTAGCGCTGGACGCGGTGTTTGGGGTGTCCGGATCTAGTACGCCGATGACGCTGCAGATGTAAATCGAAATGGCTCCCGCTCGCGTGAGCAAATGTCAACCCATGGTAGAAGGATGGGATGGGTACATAAGATTCTTTGCGACGGAGAGCACTGTTAATAATGTTTCATAAAGCCAGGCGTTTTTGGGAGATATCCTGTTGCGTAGAAGGTTACATTCGAAAAGGCAAAATGGGAAACAACCGTTCAAACCAGTCCGACCGCTGGCTACAGCCCGGTTTGGTAAGCCTCACATAAATCCAGCAATGATATACTACTCGTCCCCCTAGTCAGACGGTCGTTTTGAAGACCTGACGAGTATCCGCCCCTCCCTGGGGCTTTGGTTAGTACCAGAAAAAAAAAAAAAAAAACCAATGAGCTGACACTAACAGAGACGTGCAAGGCCTCTAGAGCCAGGCTATTCTACATCACTTTAGGACATGGTTTCACGATATCCGGAAGTTCCTTGCTCGGTGGGTATATTCGTAACACACAAGCGGCCATGAAATTTTGTGCAACAGGCCCGAATCTGTCTGTCATTTTTGGCAACTTCCATTGGTATGGACTGATGCTGTATAAGGGCTACAGTTGCCCGGTCTTCAGCAGCAGTGCTCACTCAGCAAGAGTGCTGATCAAGGTTTAGACTTGTGTCCATCCAGCCTTCTCTGCTTGAGGAAGACAGCCAGCACAAGTGCAGTGACCGAGCAAGAAAACGAGAACCCTACGTCATGGTAACGGCGGTTAGCTCTTGCCGTACGAGAAGGAGACTGGCGAAAAGGAGTAAAGAGGGAAACTGACCATGGCTCCACCACAGGCCGTCTATATACGACTGGACAACAGCATTCCTGACCTTCTCAATTGCGCCGTCAATAAAGTCAACGTCAGAAACAGCGTTCGATATGATCTGTGTCTCTCGAGTTAGCGATAACCACTCTGTACGACGAGGCGCACGACACAGGGCACAAACCTCGGCAACCTCAGTGCTATCATATCCCAGCTCAAACAGCCTAATCCCAAGGTTCCTTCGAAGCACCGTCTGCATAATCGCGTTCGCAGCTGGCAGCCCAATCGTCGCCCACACCGTTTGCATCAGATACATAAACGACACAGCAGGCGCCATGTGCGCCGGGTCGATGACCACCTGAAGCGAGATGAATAGCGCGCTGTTCGCAACCCCCATGCCGAAGCCTCCGGGAAAGATGTACAGGCTCTCGAGCCAGTTGGTGTTGCCATGCCATCTCAGCATCAGGAGGAGATAGCCGATGGAGGAGCAGGTCACGGCCCAGATGACGAGGGACTTGTACCGCCCCGATCGCTTGATGACGGAACCGGAAATCATGCCGCCGACAGCGTTGCCCACGACAGCGGGGACGAGGTGCGCGCCTGCGACGGTGGCCGAGGGTCGTGGCGTGGACGTCACTTGGAAGTAGAGAGGGACAGCGAACATCATCCCCAGTTGGGCGGCCGTCTGGAATCCTAGAATCAAGAACGAGAGGATGGCATCCTTGCTGTGGAAGATCTCCAGCGGAAGGATTGGTTCGGCCTGTCGCTTTTCCACGGCGATGAACAAGGCGAGAAGGACGGCGCTGGCACCGAGCAAGACGAAGATGAGCGGGTGGGTCCAGGGGATGTTGACGCCGCCGAGCTCGATGGGAAGAAGCAGGGTCAGCACGAGGGTGGCGAAGAGGAATGCGCCCTTGAAGTCGATACGGCTGAACTTGCTCATCTTCAACTGCTGAGTGGCGCTGACATCTGTCTCGTCTAGCGTGCTGGCGTGGTTGGGTAGATATGCTGAGCAGAGAATGATGGCGAGGGTGATGGGTGGCACTTGGCCGAGGAACGACCAGCGCCATCCGACGACATCTGCCAGCCAACCTCCAAGAGGTCCCCCCATGCTTCGGCCAAGGGTAGCTACGAGATTGACGTATGCCCTCCACTGGGCAACTTCTCTGAGTGGGAGCAGATCTAAAGGGGGAACTGGGTGTTAGTCGTCGCTGCAGACGCCCCATGGGCTGGCTTCAAAGCGTTTACTCACCTGTGATGAAAACGGACACGAGTGCAGACATGCCAGAGGCTCCAGCGCCAGACACAATTCGACCCAAGACAACCTGCCACATAGACTGGCCAACACCGACGATGGCACAGCCGACCATAAACATGGTATATGCAATGATCACCATCCTCTTGCGCCCATAGATGTCGCTTAGCTTGCCGTACTGTTTAAGGGCAACATAATCAGCATGCGCGCATAGAAACCGTTACAACCAGTGGCGTCTCTCACCAGAGTCTGCGTGGCCGCCCCAGCCAGAGAGAAGCTGATGATGAGCCAGCTAGAGTCCTTCAAGGCGTTGAACTCGGATGCAATGATTGTATGTGTCGCCATGAGAATGGACCCATCTGTCTGTGCGACGAAGATGCCTAGCAGCATGACAGATATGATCTTGACCACGTTCATATGAGCACCTTCCTTCAACGACTCGGTCTCCCCGCGTCCTAGACTCCGCTCCTCGTCGACCTCAGGAACTGGCTCGAGGACTTCATTGCCGCCGTCTTCTTCAGAAGTGCTGCGACAGGCGTGGTAGCCAGAGCCCTCTTGCGCTGTTTCGCGCAAAAGAGATTCTCGTTCTGAGAGTTGGGACTGCCCGGCCACATCGCGTTGAACCATCTTGACCAGTGTTGAGCAATGGTCGTTCAAACCCGATGGCAATCCTGAGCCAACAATTAGCCTTTGTCCTTTTAAAGTTCCATTATGGCACATACCTGGAGGTCTTGGAAAGCGCAAGATTACAAGGAACCAATCTCAAACTCGGGAACACGTTCAAGTAGTAGGGAATATGTTTTGTGGCAAACCTTTGAAGGTCACACAACCAATTGAGGTCCATCCCGAACCCGGAGGCTGACAACCCGGAATCAGCTTATCCCCGAGATACTATGAGGTAAATGAAAGGTCGAGACAATCACGACATAAGTACCTGGATTTCGTTAGACGCAGGTCCGGAGGAACGACTCATTTTTGGGACCCTTGAATTGAAAACGGGATACTACCCTCCCATGCCAATTCGAATATATTGCTTGCAGGAGACAGAAAGAGGAACAAATGAGAAGAGATATAAATTATACCATTTCGAAATGTGGTTAGGCTGCGGGGCAGAAGTGTCATGGAATCCTCTTATATAGACGCGCGCCCGCATTGGTGCAATTGCGCCAAACTAGCACGCCATCAATGACTTCACGCCAACCACCAAACCCATAAGCGCCGAAACATCGCGATGCAAAGAAAGGCCGCTTAGCAATCACAGCTCCGGTCCGGAGCTACACTGGTCTGGATATGTGACGATGAAGGCATAACATGAGTGAGTTATCCCAACACTGGTTCGGATCATTGTTGGTTACTGGCCATCACGACCTCTTCATTGCCCCAGGCCTATTTATTTGTGACCTCGTCATGATCGTCTACAACCCCTGAGAACTTCCACAACCTGACCGTCTCTCAACTCCAAGCTCTCTGTCATACAAGCCATTCAAGATGCGCTTCTCAGCGGCAGCTCTCGTAGCAGGCCTGCAAGTGTCCGCCGCTCTTGTCGTGGACGGCGAACAGAAGCCCCTAGGCTTCCAACAGAAACCAAAGGGTACGGCGACAAAGGGAAATAAACAGCCCAACATCGTCTTTACCCTTACCGACGACCAAGACTTGCATTTACAGTCTCTTGACTATCTTCCCCTCATCAAGAAATGCCTGGCCGATGAAGGCACTACATACAAACGCCACTACTGTACAACGGCCATCTGCTGCCCTGCCCGAGTATCTCTGTGGACGGGGAAGCAAGCTCACAACACTAATGTCACGGATGTATCACCGCCGTATGGTAAGTTGCTCCTCAAAGATTGATGGTCAATTTTCACCATGACTGACACCGAGGACCAGGTGGATTACCCAAGTTCATCAGCCAAGGCTTCAACGAAGCCTACCTACCCGTCTGGCTCCAGGAAGCCGGCTACGACACCTACTACACCGGCAAGCTCTTCAACGCCCACACCGTCGACAACTACGACTCCCCTTACCTAGCCGGCTGGAATGGCTCCGACTTCCTCTTGGACCCTTACACCTACTCGTACCTCAATGCCACCTTCCAGCGCAACCGTGATGCACCGGTGAGCTACGAAGGCCAATACTCAGTCGACGTCCTAGCCGAAAAGGCCTACAGATTCCTCGACGACGCCGCCCCAAAACGTTCACAAGGGGGGACGGCCCTTCTTCCTCGGCATTGCCCCCATAGCTCCTCACAGTAACGTCGAGCCGCGCATCCCTTCTTCAGCAGCAGGCGCCCTCCACCGCCGCCCAACCTCCGAAGAAGACGACATTGAAAAACTCGTCTCCTTCACTCCTCCCATCCCCGCCGCCCGCCACGCCCACTTGTTTCCGGACGTCGTCGTCCCGCGCACTCCGCACTTCAACCCCTCCTCGCGCGCCTCGGGCGTGTCCTGGATCTCGCAGTTGCCAGTACAAAGCGCCGAAAACGTAGCATTTAACGACCACTTCTACCGCCAACGCTTACGTACGCTGCAGTCCGTCGACGAGCTGGTGGCTGGCGTCATCGAGCGGCTGGAGCGTCATGGACTATTGGAGGATACGTACGTGTTTTACACGACAGATAATGGATATCATATTGGTCAGCACCGCTTGCAACCGGGTAAGGAGTGCGGGTTTGAAGAGGATATTAACGTCCCGCTTATTGTGAGGGGACCGGGCGTGAAGAAGGGAGCAGTGGCGGAGGTGGTGACTAGTCATGTTGATTTGGCGCCTACGGTGCTAAAGTTGGCTGGGGCGTTGGGTGGTGATGATGATGATGATAACAAAAAGGTAGAAGAATATAAGCTGGATGGCGAGGCGATCCCGCTTACGGCTGAGGATCTGGAGGAAGCGAAGGAGAAGGGGGAGAGGCATGAGCATGTCACTGTTGAGTATTGGGGGTTTGCGTTGTCGGAGGGTCGGCTGTTCGGCAAAGACGCGACGCGGTTCTGGACAAATAATACGTACAAGGCCGTGAGGATCTTGGGTGATGGGTATAACTTGTACTACTCCGTTTGGTGCAGTGGCGAGCACGAGCTGTATGATCTTCAGGTAAGTCTCTCTTCTTTTGTTCTAAGCCTTCTTCCTCCCGCTCAGATATCGAGTGCCTATCCTATCCTATCCACGACGATGCTAACCAAGTCATGACTACATGAACAGACCGATCCTTACCAGCTCAACAACCTTCTCGCCCCTTCCTCGCTAGACAGTGGGAACACGCCGTCGTCCCTCCTTGGAGTACCATTCCAGAAGGTTGTTGTCCGGCTCGACTCACTTCTCTTTGTCCTCAAGTCGTGTAAAGGAAAGACGTGTATTCGACCATGGGAGGCATTGCACCCGGCTGGAAATGTGCGCGACCTGCATGATGCTCTCTCGAGTAGGTTTGATACCTTTTACGAGAAAGAGCAGAGGAGAGTAGCGTTTGATAGGTGCGAGAAGGGATACATTGTCGAAGCGGAAGGTCCGCAGTTTGAGACGCACGGGTTGGTATATCGGGATGGACACCGATGGGATCAGTGGGTTTAGAAGTTACGATGTTTTGCTTACTGTGTGCTTGGAGGACATTTTCCCGCTAGTCTGTCTTCCTCTTTCTTGATATAAGATGATGGTTAATCACTAACGACCAAAGCTGATGAATGTCTTGAAAATTGTTGATCTCCGTTATTGTTGCTTAAATTCGAAGTGTCTAGTTTATGTACGCACAATGTTTACAAAATCTTTATGCACTGGTGTTCTCTGGAATAAGGTAGTAAATACAATGCAGTGCTGGTTTGTCTGTTTGTTAGCTCGGAACACTTATCGGACTGGACAAAATCTGTCCCAAACTTTCCCAAACCTTACAAAAGAGTGTGCAAGGGCTAAGTACAATTTTGAAGAGGTTTGATAACAGTCAAGAGGGCATATATGATACAAATAGGTTTTTGGTATGGAACGAGACGGATCAGTTAGGCACGTAGAAGCCTAGGAAATAAATAACCAGTGTCTGAACTATACACTACGATAGTTGAATAACAAAAAAAAAACAGAAAATGAAGAGCAAGCAGGCAGAAAGAGAGAGCAGGAAAATGAAAAATAGTAAAGGACTAGTAGGAAAAGAAAAGAACATGAGAAATGAAAGATCTGATTGCCCAAAGCCAGAATCGAACTGACCAAATATTCGGAACTGTTTCCGAGTCTGAAATGTCATAACATCTGCCATTCATTAGCGTTCCTGAAGCAGCAAACACGCTTCTGATGCAAAACAAGACTGGGAAAAGAACAAGGAGACAATGTGTAAAAGATATTGAGGAGGAAATCAGAAAAAGAAGAAAGATGAGATGGAGAAAGGGACAAAAAGAACTTAAGTTGCCCACAGCCAGAATCGAAACTGACGACCTCATCATTACTAGTGATGCGCTCTACCACTGAGCCATGCGGGCTTCATGGCTTTTCAGCTTAAGGTCTTGTATTGATATACCTAGACCATTTGCTTCACTACGATAAGTTGGTACCGGACTGCATTCGTCTTAAATTCCGAGCTTCATGTTCGTTACTAGTGATGCTCTGCCACTGAGCTACGGGGTATGGGCAATTAAAGTTGTTGAAAATAATTCCGGAAAGTGAGATCAAAAGTGAAATTTCAGCATTGTTTTGTGATGACACTGGGCAGCCCTGAAAACATCCCAAACTCCGGTGACCGTAATCCTAACGCCCATCCTTGAAAAGTCATATTGCATCCCTGATGTGGACCGTGATCACTCACTCAGCAGTGGTACACTGATCGTTGAGGGCATTAGACTCGTCCCTCTGAACAACTGTTCAGTCGTACTGTAGTCCGTAGGCCTTCTCCAAACATCAGATCAGTACCATCAAGCCTCAGATGTAAGCCCTCTTCGCAACATCAGCCGCCTCAGCCCCCGCGATTCTTCCAAAGACGACACACTCGAGCAACGACGAACCGCCTAGGCGATTATCACCATGAATACCACCAGTAATCTCGCCAGCGGCCCATATTCCCTGGATGGGCTTCTGCTCCTCCCCAAGCTCGGACGAAAGCACCTGGGCATGCTCATTAAACACGGCACCGCCCATGGTGAAATGCACAATGGGCGTAACGCGGCCCACGCATACCTCGGCGTCTTCATCGATAGTAGTACCGTCGCTGTTCACACCGAGTTTCCAGTGTCCGAACGCCTTGCGCTGAAACGGATCCTCCTTCTCGCCCCTCACGATGCTCGCGTACTCCTTCAGCGTCTGCTTGGTGGTTGCATCCAGTTCCGAAACCTTCATCTTCTTCATCAGCCCCTTCCACAGATAGAACCCCATATGGCCCGCGGCAGCCTCGGCAGCGCCCGGGTCAAGCAGGAGCTGAATGTCCCATTGACGCAAAGAGGCGCCTTCAACTCCGTCGCCCGGCAAAGCCATGATGGTGTTGCTCACACGCTCCCTCGTCTCCAGCTCGTTGACGAATCTCTTGCCGCTGTGCAGCAGGATGCCACCTTCTCCCCTCAGCATCTCAGCAGCGAGGAATTTGACGGGCACCTGGGGATTGGCCGGATCGATGAAGCCGGTCGGGTGAATCTGCACGCTGTCCATATCGACCAGCCTGGCACCGACGGTGGCGAGCAGATCGTGGGTGCCCGGCCGCGGATCGTTTGTGGAGGGCATTCCACCCAGGTCCGGACGGTAGCGAGCCAAAAGACCGTTCGTGTCACCCCCAAAGCCGCCGGTGGTGAAGATCACGGGACCGGTGAGCTGGTGGGGAGAAGCACCGTTGCCGCCATCCTGGGTCGATCGGTACTCTACTCCAGTAACGGTCACGGGGTGGTGATCCACTGAGGAGCCGCCGTTCCCGTTGCTGCCGGAGACAGCAGTAGTGGAGTCGGTGAGCAGCCTGGTGACCTCGCAGTCGGTCATCAGCTCGAAGCGGTCTTCTCCCGCCTCCTTCAACTTGCCGAGAAGAGTGGTGATGATGGCGGCTCCTGGAGGCGTCTTGCCAGCGCCTCTATGGGTTCGTGGGTGACTGTGGCCACCGAGCTGCGCCACGACAGTGAGATCCACGCCTAGATCGGTGAGGAAGTTGATGGCATCGGCGGATCGCTGGGTGAGGACGGAGATGAGGGACTCGCGCTGGGCCCTGGCCGCTGGCTTACTGGTGGCTTGGGAGGAGAGGCGAGTCCCGGCAGAGCGGACGGTATCGTCCCAGAAGGTCTCGTCAGGGCCCAGATTGGGCCAGGCGGCCTGTTGAAAGCGAGTGGGTGCCCCGTTAATGCCCGAGGAAGCCTTGATGCTGTTGCCTCCTGGCTTTGAAGCGCGTTCCAGTAGGCGAACTGAAGGGGCGCCGGCACGTAGGGCGGAATAGGCGGCGGAAAGCCCGGCCAAACCGCCGCCTACTACAATGACACAGGGGCGTGAAGCCTGTGATGTCATGTCGGTTGTTTCGGATGGGAATAGTCTGTTAACGAGGTTTGCTGTAAACGATTCGGGTGATGATGACGGCAAAAGATAGTGATAGACGACTGCGGCAATAGGAATCAAGACGGCAAGACAGACAATCAAGCGAATTTGTCGCCTGGTCATGACAGTATCACAATTGATGGATGCGTAAGTTCAAATCAACAACACCGAGATCACGACGGCCATGTTATATTTTTGATGGCCTCCAAAAAGTCCATAGTGAGGGGTGGCGCGCGGTCAGACATCATCAGAGGTTCAGACAGCGTAAAGGTGGACGAGAAACAATCGGACGAGAACCGAACCATCTCCTTGGGACGAAGGTGCTGGAGTGCTACCAATTCGAAGGCGGTAGAGCCCATCATCCGATGTCTGCGTCGACCTCGAATGGTCGAGGCCGGGCTGTCACTGGTGCGTGCGTGCCTCGAGTTGCAACGTGTATTTGACAATGAGTCCCTCTTGAGATGGTCACCTCGGCTCAAGCCAGCCAGATTCCGTATGCGAAGAAAGAAGGACAGGGTAGGCAGGCGAGATGCGAAGGAAATATTGAAGAGGTGCCAGTGCCCTTGGAGTGAGCGATAGCCGCCCGAGAACCATTCATCCCGGGCGGGCAATCGCGGGTGTGGTAGTGCCTGCCACCTCACTGTCAGCGCACGGCAGCGGCCGCGGTAGCGCTAGGGCTACCGCAAAATTCCGCGGCGTTGGGTTTCTAGGGTTATAGCAGATAAATTGGGCCAACCCTGAACCCAACGCCGCGGAATTTTGCGGGTACAAGCCAACACCGCCGAAGCTGAGGGAGGTCCATTGCAAGAGGCTTCCCACCTGTCGTCCGCTGACTAAGCAAGTTGCTGTTGGTGGGTTTGAACGGGCATCATGGCTCATGGAAAGGATGAAGATTGAACATGTCAACGTTTGCAGTTTACAAGCATGGATTCTCCCCCCTTTGCAATTTTCTTTTGTTTCTTCTCCAGCTCGAAACCCTGTTCCCCGGCGGATTGGAAAACCACATGCATGATGCAGTAGGAAAAGAGTTCCACTGATAATGAGGATACAAAAAAAAAGAGAGCGGAATTAGAAATGTCAGCAGGTGGAATCTGTCAAAGAATGGGAAGGGGAAGGTTGTCAATCATGTTCATGGACTATGCTTGCCCTGATTCCGCTGACAGAATCATTTTGGAGAAACCCCCCGCAAGAGAATGACTGAGAAGCACGAGCCATGTGAATATTTATCAAGACGGCAAAAAAAAACTCAACAATTTGATCGCTGCCCAAAACATATGTCTTCTCATCATTCATCGCGGTTGGTTGTCACGTAGAAACTCGGATATTTGCTTTCTCTTGGCAGATGGTCTTGCGAAAGTCTTGGTATGTATCTACAGGATACAACCTCCATACACAGCACGTACATCTGATACAGCGATAACTGCATATCCCAAGCATTACCATAGACCAGTGACGTCTAGCTGGGCCAACCTTGAATGACAAACCATGAGCCAAGTCCTTCCAATTTTAAGCTTCAGCTTGGCAATCCGTAACAGCTGCCCTGGCCACTGATCACCTTTCCATGTGCGCTGCCTGCTCCTCAAATGCTCATGCTGGATGGAGACAGACATACGATCCCAGCGTAAATTGTCAGCCTCGTTTCCCAGCCAAACAATGAACCGAGTGTTTCTCCCTCTGTTGTTCTCCTCCTATTGGTAGGGAGTAGCGCCAACAACATCCATCACATCAGCCGCCGAGCCGCCAATGTGGACCCGGCCGGACAACACGTGCATCCCGTCCCCGTTGTCCCTCCTGCCTCCTGCCTCCTCCTGCTCCTCCGGTCCGGAGAGACCCAGCCAAACACCCCCCGTTACCCCGGTGCACCAAAAGAGCTGCAATGGCGGAGCGGGCGGTCCCCGATGCTGCTGCTGCTGCTTCTGCTTCACGGTCATGCGTGATACCTTCCCGTTTTGATACAAAACTCCGGGCGCGGCGGGAAAACATCGCCCGAACATTTGGGGACCAACAAACGAACACGGGCATCGAATGATCATCAACCACAGCGTGTCGTGGAGAACTTCAAGGACTCCATCGATCATCACTGCGAACCAACATCCCCAAAAACGCGGGTTGCTGCAACACTCCATCCTTCTTGGCCCTTTCCCTTTCCCAAGTACACTACATACGAGGCTACATACCAAGCCGGGGGAACGGATGAAATGATAGACATTTTGTGGGATAGGGGATGAATCGTGATGGTCAATCAGTTAGTTGGCACAGTTGCATTCAACTTACCAGAGAGCACAAAGAGTGCAGTGCAGTGCTGATCGATCTGATCTTGGGGGGTGGGGGGTGGGGAGTTTCCCCCGGCTGGTGGATATAGTAGGTTGAGGTTGGGTTACCGACAGACACATGCTCGATTTCAATTGATGATACGCGAGAGATGATCATTATCATCATCAACTGTAAATGATTTTCGCTTTTTGAGTTTTGAGTTGCCAAGTTGCATTTTGCAATTCAGTGGAACCCCAAGTTATACACAGTACAACACGTGTACACGTGAGAGATGTGCGGTTTTCCCCGGTTTTTAATCAGGGAAGACTATAAGCTTTTTGCCGTTTTGTTTTTCTCGGTACAACCTTCGCCACCGCCGTCTTATAACCGACCGTTTGGTACCTTGTAAAGCAAATGCTGGTTGGTTATAGGCTGCAAACATCGTGAACATCATCACACTTGACCTTCACTTCTGTAACAACCAACAACGAACAAGTGCCGATTTTTCTTTACTCCTCATTAGCACAACACTGATCGCATCAGGTATCAGAAGAACCAGCTCATCTCATCAGATCCTTGGCACCAAGCATTTCGCCGAGTCTAGTGGGTGTCTCAAATAGTGTACTCTCGCCAGCCAGGACTTGGATCAGGGGAAAAAGAAATGGTAGGAGCCTGTCCTCCATAATAGGGGGAGCGGCAGTTGCAGAGCCTCTGATCCTTTGCACGCACCCAGACACCGTCGGTGATTTAATATATTTCTTGGCAACAGAGCAGCATGAAATGAAGGTCAACTCTGTCCCCGTTTGTTGGATACTGAAGACGGTGCATGCAGACATGTGCAGGCGAACGGGATAAAAAACTTTGAGCAAGATATCATGAATGAGGGAGGTCAAAGATGCCATGTGCGGCCTCGTATGCCATTAAGCTAAACAAGTACCAGGCGTCAATATGCCCCCAGATCTAGACCGGTCTGGCACCCGGTGAATAACACCAAATTGCCACAAGGTAAAAGGAGTCTGGGGTAAAATCAATAAAAGACCACGTGCAGAAGTCTTGCTCCGGGATTTTGGTGCAATGGCTAGGTGGAGCGTTGAATATAATGTTGAATGGCTTACTTAATTCAATGAAACCGATTGCTGTTCAGGGGAGTGGACGAAATCTCGTATTAAGAGAGGAGAAGTGTCGAGAACGTCATTCTTTGAATGAAACCACAATGATCTTTGATTGGCTCCCCTTTGAATTTCCTTGTGAGCGTGGAGCGCAAAAAAGCAAGTGTTGTTATGGAGTTATATGGAGGAGTGTCGCAAGGCGCTTGTTAAAAAATAAAAAATATTCATGCCTCGAACAAGACAGTGAACCTTTTTGGCAACTCGCTTGAGCAGTCGTGCCATGGTACAACAGGATAGACTTCCTATAGAGCATATACTGCACTTTCCCTCTTTGTTCTTGACCACTTGGTCTCTCTGACGAACCGAACTTTCCCGGTTCCGCTTTCCGGGCCCTCCCACAAATCCAAAACGAAACATCCACACTGAGATCTGATAAATCATCATAACGTCAAATAGAAATAGGCCCAGAAAAACAGGTTGCGAACGGGTCCGTGTCTGAGGAAAGAAAGCAAAAAGGATCCTCAACGGTGACGGACAGACGGGTCCATCCCCTTGAAAGTTCTGAAACTGATTTCCGCTTTCCCCAGGAGCCGTATTTCCGGCTTCCACCAACATACCGGTACACCCACCCACCAGCCGGCCAGAAGAGCCTACGCGCACATACAGATTTCGCACAGATTGTCGAGATTTGTCGAGATTCAACTTGCATTTTCTGGGCTCGCAACCCCCATCATCCCCGTCTTCCCCCATTTCCTTGTAATCACCATCCCCATCCCCATTTCCGTCCCCATCGTCAGTTCTTGGCAATTCCACCCAATTCCACTTCCGTGTCCATCAAGGTAGTGTAAAAAAACAGTTGACCCACAGGCAGGAAAGTAAACTCCCTGCACCAACTCCAGTCTCCCAGAAGCCGGCAGTTGTTGAGGTTCCACTTGTCAAGACCCTCACTCACTTTGTATGGGCCAAATCGAAAAAGGGGGCGCGTGCGTTGCATTTGCACCATGCGCAAGATATGGATGATCTCGATGTGGGTTGTGGGTGTTGGGTTGTGGATGTTGGAGGACAGGACGGGCCACAGAACCTCCGTTGCCCGACATTGTTGAGACCGCCAAACAGAAGTGAGGATTCGCCGGACGGCCTGCGATTGGATCACAGATGCCTCGTGGTCGTCTGTGCTTGTGCCGGGAGCTCGTGCAATGGTTCTTTTGCAATGGGGTACCGGCTACGAACGTGCCGCACGCATTGACTTTGAGATATCAAGAGATATTGATGTTCCTCACACTAACGTCGATAGAAACAATATGAGGCATGTTCCATGGAAAGTTCTGCCGCCGCCGACGGGCATAACCGCCAATCGGACGGTCCCAATTTCTCCCAATTACACGTGCGCAACCGGTGCACAACATTTATCTCCGGGCCGACTTCCAACCACGTACTTAAAACATGGCCGGGGATATGGTTTGATTACCTTCAGAGCCGTTTTGATGACAGAAAACAAGCTTAACCTTTGTGACGAGGGACGGGGAACGGGGGACGGGGGGCGGGGAGGACGACAGCGGGGACGCCGACAGGGACGGAGCAGAATTCGAAGTGAAGCGGGCGGGGACCGCCCTTTTTGCCCACGGGGGGATTTGACAAGCGCTCAATGGCTGGTCGAACAGGACGACGGGGGTCGGGGGTTGCGATTTCGGCTAAAAGAAACCTAAAAGATAAAAAAGTCAACAGATGCCTGCAATGCGACAAAACCGTCGGTACCCGCGCCAAAGTCTATTTCTTTCGTCTCCCTCTGGCTGGATGTTCTCCTCTTCGTCTCCCTTCCAGACCAATCACCATTCTGCAACAGCAGATTTGTGAAATTCGTAATCCCAGTAAGCGACTCCATAACGGTAGATCTTGGAGTGGATGACCTTGTGGAGGACGGTGGAGATGGCTTCTTTGGAGGCCCAGAACCAAGGCAAATCCGAACGGAAAGAAAGGACGTAGCAATGCCCCTTTCAGGAAAGGAAGAGCCGAAAGAAGGTGGAGTAAGCTTTGAGTTTGAGCGAAGCGCAAAAGGTTGGAAAGCCATTCAGTAACCGGGGTGAGAGGCAAATGGGCAGGGGGATGAACGTCATCTGAAAACGTCAGTTACGATTCCACTGCACATCGCTTGATGGCAACATTCTTCGGTTAGCCACCACCACAATAGATGAGGAGAAACGAAGTCGGGGCCGAAGAACAAGAGCAACACTGTAAATTGAGAGTGATATGGGTGATACTGATTGAATATTGCTGGAGTGATGCACATGGTTAGCCTGGCTGGGTCAGTGACTAACTGACAAAGCCTGACATGATATGCGCCCAGTGGCGGCGTTAGCGAGGGAAGAAATGCCTAGGAGCCCATACATGAAGAAAGTTCGAAAGGATGATAATAATAATGTGTGTAAACATTTGGTATCGTCGTGGACCCCATCCTTGATCCGGTATCAAACAGAAAACATGAACATATGATGAACATGACCCAAACCTCGCTAGATATCCAAAACTGTGTACTACTCGCTCGCCATATAACAAATACCCATCGTGACCCGCTTAAAAAGAATTCATAACGTAAGACATATCAGGAAAGAACGGCCAGGGCCGACTTAGGCCTGCTCGCGGTCAGACTTGGCAGCCATCCTGGTCTCACGGCCCTTCTCAGACCAGGGGAAGTGGAAGACGGGGAGGAGGAAGAAGGAGTTGCTGTGAGGAGAAAAAAGTTAGCGCATGATCATTTGAAGTTATATGAGGCTCTGCACTAGGGTCAAGGATGATAACAATGACGTGTGCTTGGCAGATGCAATGAAACGAGGGGGAACCCCGAAAGGCCCAGTAGTGTCATGGCATGGTTTTGGAGAAAGCCCATTGCCAATGCCAAGTTTGGGGTACGAGGCCAGTCTGATGACGCTGTACTTTTCTTCTCATTTGTCCTTGTCGGAGGGGGGAGGTAGATATGTGACAGGAAGAAAAAAAGAAAATGAAAATCAATAATGTCGGGGTACTAACCTGCTATCCGCAAGACCAGCAAACGCGTTGTACCAAGCCAAGAAGGCGGCGAGCATGCCGAAGACACCGCCAGCCTGGGTGAGCCTGTGGGAGGCAGTGAGGTTTCCTTCGTTGTTGGCGAACTCGCCGCAAGCCAGCATGAGAAAGGCAATATCCAAAGTGAAGAAAAGCATGAAGAACATGACGGTGGAGCGCAAGGTGCAGAGAAGCAAAATGGTGGTGAAGATGAACCAGCCGGTGAGGAAGATGCCAACAGCAGAAGCCCCCATCTTGGGATCAACCGCCTTGGCTGCTTCAGTAGCATAGGGACCGCCCTCGCCAAGGATGTTCCAGGCCGGAGTGAGAAGAATGGCATAGGCGATCCAGAAACCACCGAAAGAAGAAAGAGCAGTTGCACCAAAGGTGTTGCCAACAGCCATTTCCCTAAAGTTGGGTGTTAGACATGATGTGTAAAGAGAGGGTAGCTTGTATCAATGATTGTACGTACCACATGCCGGCAAGGAGCTGAACAAGACCACCATAGGCGAGAGCAACACCAACGACAACGTTGGGGACGTTCAAGCCACGGGCGTTAAGGTTGACGCAGGACAGGATGAAGGTAGTAAGGGCGAAAGCGCAGAGACCCAGAGGAGCCGGGTTGGCGAACTTGCGTTCCTTGACAGGGCGATAGAGACCGGGCTGGAATTCACCACCGAAGGCAGGCAACCTGGGCTCGGTTCCGGTGTGGATACGAGCCATAGGGTTGTGCCAGCCATTGAGGATAGCCTCATGGTGGGCGGCAGCGACAGCGGCCTGGGCCTGAGCCTGAAGCTGAGCTTGAGCTTGGGCCTGGGCGTGGGCCTGCTCCGCAGAGATGTTCTCAACTGAGGGCTTCTCGTCGTACATTGTGCGAACTTGTTGAGAGGTGATGATGTGGTAAGGCGTAGTATGTTTATCGGACCAGGTAAGGAACCAAGATGTGGTGTTCCTTATATGTCGAGGATGTTGTTGCAAGGTATGGCACCTGGAGACCTGGGGAAGATGGAAACAAAGAAAAGGGTCCTGGGGAAGAACTGGGGAAGAGAGGTTGATATAGAGAATGACGATGGGTCGAATGGATCATCGATTACATATCCCACGGCCAGAAGAGCGGCATGTTGAACATGGCCGCTAGACAAGCGTTGCCGTAATGGGCAAGCATGGATGATCCGCGGAGTCCTGGGGTCACCTGGAGGCTGCTTAGATCTGCCTGGATCTGCTTAGGTCTTGGGATGAACTGGCTCAATCGGTCAGTGGAGAGTGGATGTAAGTGATGCAGGGACTAGGGGCCGTCATCTGGGGACTGGAGACCAAAGTGGGACGGCGTTTTCTTGGGCCTGCCAACTCGTTAAAGGCATAAGGGGCAAAGATTTATTTTGGATAGATGCATTTCCCCACGATATTCCCTGAGCCCAACTGGAGCTTGACTGAAAGACTGGGCCTCTGCTGGATCTCGACTGGACCTCAACTGGGGCCAGGCCGTGCCTCTGACTGGAGCAACCCGGGTCACGGCTCCCATCACGGCTGAGGCTGTTTGGAGAGCTACCGACACCCTGCCGGGGGGGCACCCCGAGCCCACGGAGGGACAACCAACACGATGAGGAGACGGATGCAGGCGGACAAGGACATCGGTGAGAAAGCGGATATCTCCCTCGGCCCAAGGCTCTCTCTTGGGTGGGTCGTCGGTGGTTGTGTTAAGCTGTGTGCTCCACCGGAAGACGGAGAAGAAGATCTGGAAACGCTGTCTCCTCACTGGATAAAGCTGATTAATCCACCAGAATACGGGGAAGGTTGCGTGGCATGATATAGAGGCTGGTCCACAACACTTGCAGTCTGCTTGGTAATTCCTTACACGTCCAGATTAGAAAGTCTTGGTAATGCCGTTTGTTTGAAATGCGAAGGGCATCGAAGGGAACAAGCAATAAACAAAGGTCCAAACGGTTCGTGGTAGAACGGTCATGTGCGTTGGGATTGCCAGTGGGGGTATTTCTGGACGAGTAGACTTTGTCGGAGCAGGTACCTGGCTGTCATGGAAAGCCAATAGACTAGAGAATACACTAGTAGTATGTACAATTAGCAATGAGGGTGCACTCGAACAAGGAGGCTCACTCACCAAAATTCAACCGACAACCACATTGCACTGGAGTCTTTTTGCGCTCCACAAACCCCGGAGAGTCCACAATACGCTAGTATGATCATCTCCAGATTGGATCTACCTAATGGTTAAGGTTAGAGGTGACACGACCTGAAATGAAGCCTGGCTGGCGAGGCTGGAAAGCTGTTAAGCATATGGCATGAATGATATCTGATGACACTCCTCAGCTCGAGCTTGAAGAATTTTGATGCTCCGGTCAAAGGAGGAAACCGCACTTGATGAATCAATGGCTATGGTTGGCTGGCTGGCTTCGCCCAATTGAATCGGTTCCATGACAAGGAGGACGGCACCTTTTTTTTCCAATACCAAATTTTTTTATTTTTTATTTTTTCCTGTGGCCGCATGTAGGGTAGCAATGGCAACCAGTAGCGCATTCGTCTTTCTCACACGGTCTCCGATAGCTTGCGGTTATGGCAGAAGGAGGTCGGGTAGTGGTGGTTAGAGCAGTGCCGAGATAGCCATATCGCAATTTCTTTTGCTGAAGAGGCTCCTTTTCCGACGCACGAAGCCGGCAATGCCACCCAAGCCAGTCCTGTCTCAGTGTCGAACATCCGGTCGTCCATCTTGGTATTCATCAAAGCAATCTGGTAGGGAGGTGGGGGATAGACAACGATTGGCTGGAGAGACATTGAGGTGCAGAGATGCGGCGGCCTCGGCGTCATCTAAACCACATGGATTGGGATTTGGGGGGCACTGAACCAGAAAAGCAGAGAACCAAGGGGGCGGCCGGTGGCTTGACTTTGCCTTTCTTGTTCGATTCCCGCAGCGATTGCCGGCTGGGCGTGCGTAATGGGCTTGACTGGCAGCTGAATGTTCTTTTTTTCTCGAGATGTTCCCATGAATGACTGTGTAGGTGCTCACGACCACGTTTGGTGAGACAAACGGTATATGATATTGTCAAGGGCCGATCTGTATAGTCGGATCAAATGCCCGGTAACAGTGTCGAAACGACCAGCAGTACATCGAGTACCAATGACCACAACTCCGGTGAAGTGAAAGGCAGAAAAGGGTGGACTCGCTCGATTTTGTCACTACTACTCACTACTACGGTAAGCTGTGTGCCGGGAATAATGGGAGTTAGCGGACTTGATGCGGGAGTGATGATCGGGGGAAAGCCAAGTGGCTCGCTAACCTCGCCCGTGTTCTGGCGTGTCTGGCTAACCGTGAACGGATGCGCCATCCGGAGTTGCAGTGAAGCAATCATCAGTTGGTCAGGATTGGCATGTCATGGATGTCCACGGAAAAGGGCGAAGGGAGGGATTCTGTCGTTAGGAAGACCCTGGTCTGAAGTTGTTCATTTGGAGAACACGATGGCATTAGGTAAATTGTAGGCAGTGAGTGGTAAGGTGGAAGGAACAAGTGAGGTCTGGAATGGGGATCCGATGGTTGATACCGCCATTGGTACCTTGGGTTCTGCACTTCTTTTGCCCGTTTGGTGCAAAGGTGGACAGATATTCCCCAGACGAAACAACCTTGGTTGCTCCCTGGCACTTGCCCTGTTGGGCCAGGCACATCGATTGGGACCTGGAAAAAGTCAAGAATCAGAACCCAGATGGAGGAAGGGACGGACGGCAACGGAGCCCGAGTGGGAGAACTACTTTCCACTTCAGCGACCGAATCAAATTGACGGAGGCGAGGGACAGAAGATGAGGGGAAAGGGCACGTTGGTGACCCCAAGGAAGGAAGGAAGGGAAGCCCACCAAAAGCCCACCCACCTTCCAGCTTCCCCATAAGGTTGATTCAAAGGTTGTGGATTTTCTCCGCACACTCCCCCCCGCCCCTTCCCCTTTTCGAATCTCGCGTGCAAGCCAATTGCTCTGCGCGGTCAGCATTTCTTAGCACCATTACGTCGTTTGGCACATGGGACGCTGTTAGTGCAAATTCAATCCCGCCCCGAATCCCCCTTTTTAACCTTTTTGCTCCATTCTCTCTCTGTCTCCACGGCCAAGCGGGGAAGATCTGGGGAAAGTGCAAATGCAAAGCCCAAGTCATGACTTGTTTCTAGTGATGTGCATGACGAGACTCAATTGAAGCGGAGCAGCATCCAACCCAGATGTTGAACGCTGCTGCTGAAATGGGTTGCTGGATTGTTGAAAAAAATAGGGTCAAAAGTGGTGACGGTGAGGGGACGTTGCGGGGAAGTGGAATACGGCAAGTACCGTCGTACCGTTTTTCTTCCAGTCTTGCTCGGGTTTTTCCCTTTTATGTAATTGAAGCACTGAAGGAAGGTACTGCTGTGTAAGTGCCGTGGTAAGGGCTTGCTTGCCCTTAGAATTATGCAACTATCGGGGGTATGCATAATCCTTCTCACTTTCCACCATCCCCAATCAAAGGTCTGATCTATTATCTCGACTGCCACTGCCCGTGCCGGTGCCGGTCGGTCGGTCTCAATTCCCTGCCCAATAATGCCAGCGCCGTCGTGTAGGCTCCTGGGATCTCCCAAGTTCTACAGCATGGCGTCTCCTCGTAAGAAAAAGGGCCATGCTGATTTGTGCTGACGGGGTCCATGGCCCAGCCGAAAGACTAGCCTCGGCCTTTTTCTATCAGTAATGTGGCCATTCGTAATCCATCACGATCCATCCATCGGCATCCAACCTCTTGCTTTCCATCCACCTGGCACTTGTGTTCCACGGCCATTGACGGACTTTCATTGACACCATAAGTCCAGAGCTAAGGAAGGTGCTTCTGGTGCACCGTTGTTGCACATTTTGATAGTGTCTCACGGTTATCACGGCACTTGTGCACACCTGTCCGGCTCTGCTCTTTGCCGTCCACCCAGGGCACAGATTGCTACAGCACATATCGAAACTGACCTCCTGGCAAGGGGATATTTGCATTTGCCCGGGTGTTATTTCTCTTGTGAGTCCCGAGTGTTGCTCCGAGTGGAGGATCCAATATCAAAAGATGCCCCGGGGCAGATATCCGTTTCAGTCAAGACACGCCGACAGCTCTCTACACTACTGTGAACTCATCGTGTCATCGAAAGGAGTCTTCACCCCATGGATTCCTGGACAAAGGATCGTCAGGGGAAATAGCCATCTTGATCATGCGTTGGCAGATTGGGTCGACGCTTGGGACTTGGGCCATCAGGGAGGAGCAAGCCAGCCTCCTGGGAATCCGAGATCCTCAGGAACAACGACATGACAGATTGGCTCACAAGGACCCGGCTTGACTACCACAATGAAGCTTGTGTGTTCCTGATCATCATCGTTACCATCATCACCCCGACGGGAGTGAGTGCTAGTGTTCTACACTACGGCAGTTGATCACCAATAACAGGACCCCGACGGGAGTGAGTGCTAGTGTTCTACACTACGGCAGTTGATCACCAATAACAGGACCCCGACAGATGAACATTCGCCAGCATCATGAGAGCATCGCCCTTCTCTGTCTACCTGCCTTCTGTCCCCTTCCCCTCTGTGAAGATTCGTCGCCTGGGGGGTTGGCAGACTTGCCCACAAAAAATCATCTACGCGCCATGGAACAAGTCTTGTTGCTGATACAACGTCAACTGTACCAACAAAAAGACGTGCTTGAGATAGCCACATGGTGCTCTACCTATGATCAATTCTGCTGTCCAGTTTCATTCGGCCGAAGCAGAGTGAAGAGGAGAGACCGTACAGGCGCAAGCGTAAAAAA